TACCTAATGGGATTTTTAGGGTCACTTATATATAGTATCATATCATCTGCAAATAAAGATACTTTAATTTCCTCCTTTCTGGTTTGTATTCTCTTGATCTCCTTCAGGTGTTTTATTGGTCTAGCTAAGATTTGAAGTACTATATTTAATAGATAGTGAACAATCTTGTCTTGTTCCTGATTTTTGTGGACTTGTGAGCAGATATTTTTGATGAAAACTTTTGGGAGGCCCGCAAGATGGCATATCAAGTGAAGATAGCTGCCGTCAAGCCTGAATTCCTGTGTTCAGACCCAGGACCCTCATCTTGTACCAGTGTGTTTCCCTACACTGAACCATTATAACAGGGTCAGCAGTGGCAGTGGTATTACTTTGTTGATAATATTAAGGTTTCAGATTAAACTGATTCATTGAAACTAAGTCGTGCTCTATTAATAGATATAATAAGCAAAACAGTTTATCTTTTGAAAATATAGCCACATTATGAAAACAGTGACATCCTCATCCTGGTAAACATGCAAGGGCATGGAAGGATAGATGGCCACCGTTTGCATCATATTATGCTAAATTTATCATATTAATGATAATTTCATGTAAATAATAAATCCCACAGGACTCAGGGAAAACCCTTGCTTTTCACATGATGAAGCGATGCATTTATATGAGCCTCTGGGCCCTGAGCATCACTGGAGATGTTTTCATCCTCTCCGATCCTCAGTCGGACCAGGAATGGGGACAGGGAAGGCTGTGTGAACTGGGTCACTGGCTGCCATGTGGGATTGTTGTCCTAAGGGAGTATAGTATGTGGAGCAAAGATTGAGGTCACAGTGTGCTTGTCTAGGCCCCATGTATAGGGTGCCCTGCACAGTGGAGGGTGTGTACTTAGAAAAATAATGCCAATGTGTCGTTTCTTCCTTGATTGTCAACTTTGTTCAATTCTTAACAAATCCTGTGTGTGAATTCTGCTCTACACTGCTCTAGGAAAGGCTCTGAGTAGATTGTGTCTTCCTGCCTGTTAAGTGTTGAGTAAGGACCTAAGTGCTCAATCTATTTTAACCTTTTTGAAAGCAATTTTCTTTATTTCTTAATTTTGTACTGAAATCTGTGTAGATAACAGTTGCCCTGTCACTTTGAAGTCTAGAAATGGGGCCTGGGGAGATGGCGCTATGGGTGAGAGTATTCCAAGTGTGAGAATTGCATTTTGAACCCTCAGGACTCGGGTAAGGATCTGGCATGGCTGCGCAGGTCTGTAACCCCAGCATCAGTGGGGCAGTGGGGAAAGGCAACTCCTAAAAGCTCAGTGGCCAGCCAGCCTAGCTGAGCCGGCACGCGTCAGGTTGAGTGAGAGATAAGGAATTAAAGTGGAGAGTGATGGAGAAAGACACCTGATGTTCCGCTCTGGCCTCTGTCAGCATATGCGTGGGTACATAAACCCCACCCCTCAAACTCCATTATAATCTGATAGTTTCATTAGTCTGGGAAGTTTATTGCATGTTCCGTGTTCCTATGTGTTTAATTACATTGCTCTCCAGTCTAGATTCCAGAGTGGGTGGGGATCACGGACTGTGTTGTGTCCTGGATTCTTAATGAGTCTATCCCAGAGAGAGGCTCTTTACACCTGAGAAGCCCTTTCACCTGCTCTAGCCTTCCCTTGTTAGGATAGGTACCAGAGCTGGGCTGTGGTGGCGCACGCCTTTAATCCCAGCACTTGGGAAGCAGGCAGGCGAATCTCTGTGAGTTTGAGGCCAACCGGGTCTACAAAGCTACACAGAGAAACCCTGTCTTGAAAAACAACAACACAGGTACCAGGAAGATCAAAAGAGGAGTGGAGAGTAACCTGGGTGGCATCTGCCCATAGTCTCAGCTGCTCTGGAGGCTATGGCAGAGAACCCCTGGAGCCCAAGAATTTGAAGCTAGACTGGGCCACAGAGACTGAGGCTCAAAGAAGAAGAGTATACAGGGCACCCTGAACAATAAAACCTGCCATTGTTCTTGGCTAGTGTATGGTAAACACAATTTCTTAGAACACTGTACTGGCTAATTTTATGTCAACTTGACATAGGCTAGTCATCTAAGAGAAGGGAGCCTCTGTTGAGAAGATGCCTCCAGAAGACTTGGCCATAGGGTATTAATTGGTGGTTGATCGGGGGGGGGGGCGGGGGGGGGAGGGGCAGCCAATTGTAGGTGCTGCCACCCCAGAGCTGGTGGTCCTGAGTTGTATAAGAGAGCCTCCTGAGCAGCAAGCCATGAGATATAAGCCAGTAAGCAGTACACCCCGATGGCCTCCAGGCTCCTGCCCTGGCTTCCCTCAGTGACAGACTGTTCCATGGAAGTGTCAGCTGGAAGAAACCCCGTCCCTCTCCAAGTTGCTTTGGTGTTGTTTCATCACAGCAGTGGTAACCCTAAAAGACAAACGCTGAAGAACTGACATATAGAAAATGTGAAGCTACTAAATATTTAGGCTTTGGTTATTAGTATAGTGTGTGATTCATAATTTGTCTTTCTGTACTGTTTTATTATGGCAATAGCAAGCTGGATATTGTTTGCATCTAGGAAAGTGGCAATTAGTGATAAGCAACCTAAAAACGAAAACCAGTAAAGAATGTGGATACATTCCTGATCTCCAGACACAGTGGGCATTTAGTCAGTTTAGAATTGAGGATCATCAAATCTTAGGAATTGTTTTACCATGTAAAGCAGCCACATGGAATGAGAACGCTTTTATCTAATTGATACTTACATATTATTTTGAGTGTTCTTGACATGTAAATATTCTGAGTGTAACCAAGAACCATTGGCTCTTGGAACACAGTCTAGATGTTTCCTTACTTTCCTTCTAGCACTCCTGGATGATATTTTGTGACTCCCTGAAAAACAAAAGGAGAAACTTGCTGCTTAAAAAGTTCTGTCAAATTTGTCACCTCAGAAGGGGTATGGCGCCATAGGGACTGCTTGTCAAAATAAGGCAACATTTATTTTACTCTTTTTAGTTTCACATGCCCTTTCTTCATATTTAGATTTGTTTTGATTGTTGGGACTATTTATTTCCAGACACTAAGCAGCATTGTTTCCTGTTTTATCCAAAGCAACTTAATGCTTGGAATGCTTCCAAAACTGAAAAAGATGTTCGTTTAAAACAAATATTTCCCAGAACACAGCATGGGAAGAGAACAGTCTTGAAGTGGTGTCTCAGATGAATCTGGACCAGTAGGTTGTGCTTGAGATGAATTTTTTTCTTCACTCACTGTTATTGCTTGGGGAAGATGAAGCTTGCACTGACTATAAAATGAAGCAGTGGATTCAGGCATACTATGCTCTATACAGTGACCTCAGAGGACAGAGTGCAGAGTCTTCAGTGTGCGTGCTAGTTAATTAGCGCAGTGACGGGTCTGCAGTTTAGACCATGGCAGTGACAGCCAGCCAGCCAGCCAGCCAGAAGCAATGCCTGAGGCATTTGTGGAAAGAGCACCGGAGGCCTGTGATGGGAAAGTGAGAGGGTCAACAAGAAAACTGAAGAAATTTTTAAACTTCAAAGGAATTCTATGTTAAAATGCTATAATGAAGCCTATTACTTTGCATTTACTCATTCATTTGGAGACAGTGTCTCACTGTGTATCTCCAGTTGGCCTAAAACACGTGTATAGACCAGGTTGCCCTGGAACTCAGAGATCCACCTGCCTCTGCCTCCCAAGTGCTGCCAGCCACCATGCCCAGTCTAAAAAGTTTTTAAAAAGGAAACTGTAATAGGAAATAAAAACATTTCAAGTTTAATAATTTGAAATTTTCCTTGGTGCTTATCATGTCAGAGGGTAGTAGTTACTATCAGATTTCTTTCTAAAATTTTCTGCTTTTTAATTATACCTTTTCACCTTTCGTTTAAAAACAAAAAGGGATTTAAAACTACATTCTTGATTTGAAGCATACTATTGTCTAGTTTTAGTATTTGCTGCTTCTCCAAAATGTAAAACCAGTTGAATACTGTGCATTAGCTTTGCCTCCTGTAAAACTGTCTTGTACTTTTTCAACCTGTATCATGAATCCTATACCACTCTTATTTTTCAGTCTCCCAGTATCATCTACTGAATTACTCTGATACCAGATTCATTCTCTCTCTGACTCTTTCTCTGACTCTCTCTCTCTCTGACTCTCTGTCTCTCTGTCTCTGCCTCTGTTTGTCTCTGTCTCTGTCTCTGTCTCTCTCTCTCTCTGGCACATGCACGCACACCCCCAAACCATTCTATTCTATCTGATGAACATAGATGCATAAATTTCCAATAAAATACTGGCAAACTGAATTCAATATTATAGCAAAAAAGATTCACCCTGATCAAGATGATTTCACTCTAGAGATTTAGAGATGGCTTAACCTACAAGAATAAGTAGATGTCATTCATGACATCAATAAACTCAAAGACAGAAATCACAAGTTTACCCCAATAGACACAGAAAAGGCCTTTGATGATCAGATTTCTTTGTCAGTTTAACTGGAAAATGAAAAATCGATGATGCTGAGTTGGAGAGGTGACTGAGCAGATAAACATGCTTGCCGTGCCAGCCTGGTGACCTGAGTTTGATCCTGGGGCCCACAGTAAGATAGAAGCAAGCAGCTCTGGGATGTTGTCCTCTGACTGTCACAGGAACACATTGGTGTTCAAGTGCCTGAAACTCACACGCACACAACCTTGCAAACACACACAGTAACGGTAAATTAAAAATGAAAGCCGTGAAGTCGTTATTTTGCCCCCATTTTTTTTCTGTTAGAGTCACCAAGCCTGTTTGGTTCATATGCATAATTCTCAGTTCCACATGAATCTTCACAATCAGAATTAAAACCATTGGCTGTGCTTACGAATTCCAACCACCCGATCCCCGGTCAATTCCAGTCTGCCCCAGTGTAAACATGGCCCGGATGTTGTCATGTTTAGCTGTTTATGACCCCATGGGTCCGTGATTATAAAATTTAACAGCTCGCATCTTTGTGCTTTCATTTCTTCCTCTTGCAGTTGAAAAAGGCCGGCAGAAGACTCCTCGAAGCCTGTGCATCCAGACCCAGACAGCTCCAGATGTGCTATCCTCCGAAAGAGCACTTGAGTTGGCTCAGTACAAGACAAAATGTGAAAACCAAAGCGGAGTCATCCTGCACCTCAAGCAGCTTCTTTCCTGTGGCAATACCAAGTTTGAAGCACTAACAGTTGTGATCCAGCACCTCCTGTCTGAGGTAGGGATGAAAACCCTCTGCATTGGGGAAGGGGACTCAACTCACAGTTCTACAAACGTATTTAAGTTAATGATTGGAATGTGGGGCACCGGCCATCTAATCTAGGACTCCATCTGTCTGTGTGTGTGTGTGTGTGTGTGTACACATGCGTGTACTCACATGCGTGCATATGTGGGCACACACACACTTGTGTGTATGATATGTGCATGCACGTAGAGACTAGAGAATGACCTCATTTATTCACCAGGAGTCATCTACTTGGAGACAGGGTTTCTCACTGGCATGAAACCTGCCAAGTTGGTCTTGTTAGCCAGCAACAAGGCCCAGGGATCTGCTTTTCTCCACTTTGCCCACTGCTCCAGCACTTGAAACAAAGCCTGGCTATTGCTGCTATTGTTTCTCTAAACAGGGTTTCTCTTTATAGCCCTGGCTACCCTGGAACTCGCTTTGTATATCAGGCTGGCCTTGAACTCTGAGATCTGCCTGCCTCTGAGTGTTGGGATTAAAAGTGGGTAACAACACTTTCTTAGAAATGCCTGACTTTTTTTAAAAAATGAGAGTCCTAGAGATTAAACTCAGGACTTGATGCTTATAAGGCTAATATTTTACTGACTGAACTATCTCCAGAACTCAAACTATACTTTTATCACTCACTTCATACTTGTATCAGTCTTTAGAATTTGGGATCACAATATGGTTCTATTCTCTCCCCTCCCTCTTTCCCTCCCTCCTCCTGTCTTTGTGTTTGGTTACATATGGGTGCAGGGACCCATGCATGCAGAAGCAAGAGTGGTCTGGTCCTCTGTTGCTTTCCGCCTTACTTTTTGAGTCAGGGTCTCTCACTGAGTCTGAAACTGGAAGTTTCCCCCAGGCTGGCAGACTAGTGATCTCCCAGGATCCACCTGTCTCTATCTCCCAAAGGCTAAAGTTATAGCCACACACTACCATGCCTGGCTTTTTTACATGGGTGTTGAGGATTTGAACTGGGCCCTCTTGCTTTTACAGCAAGCACTCCTAACCACTGAGTCATCTCCTGAGCCTGCAAATATTTTCTTAGTATTCCTTTTTCCCTTCCAGAGTCTTTTCATTGGAAACAGTAGTGGGAAGATAATTGCCGGTAGTACTTTTAGTTAGTGCTTTGGAAAATGAGGTTGCCCTTCCTCCCAAGGTCATCCTGTGTAGACCTGGCCGATCGCTGGGTTCTGACAGCACTTCTTTGCTTCCATCCTTGTCTCTGTAGCCCGTCCCAAGCACTGCTAACTCTGCTCCTCCACGGAGTACCCCATCAATCTCTGGTGGTTCTGCACTGCCCGCAGATGATCTGATGTGGTAGCCGGGGCTCACAGAAGAGCATTGACAATCTGTAAAACAACCACTGTGAGTTGAGCAATGGGTGTGAACTACACGCCATATTTAAAGACTTAGAATGAAAAAGAACATATGTAAATATATTAGATATTTTATGTTGATTAGATTGAAATGGTATATGTTTGAGCTGAGTTAAAAAAAACTGCTAAAAGTAACTTTAAAAAGTATGCCTAGTTGGAAATTATTAAATTATGTGTATGTGTTAGGAATGGTTCTGATTTATTAGCTTGGACTACAGAACTTCATTATTTGACACTGTTGACCTTTTGTATGTAGGCCTCACTGCCCAACTGCTCGACTGTGTATTAGGGAGATGAAGGGAAGAAGCAAGATGGAGTTCATATTTGTTAATAAAATACCTGACACTTAGTAGCTACTTAAATGCTTCACACAAACAATAACGAATGGGAATTTACAAATAAGAAAATCAAGGCACACAGAGTTCAGTGACTTCAGACAGCTAGCAGTGTCGATCCTGACTGCTGCTTTCCTCGGGTTCCTGCATGTTCAGACCTTCCTAAGTGAGCTGTGTTGCATCACGACCTGCACCCAACGACCACAGACTGATTGTCCAGCCGGTGAAAGTCAGATGCTAGTTGAGTAAAGCTGGCAGCCTTCGCTGACCTTCTGTGAGCAAACTTTCAGGACTGTGCTTGAAGGAAGCAGGAATCTGCCATTCAACTGTCTGTCTTCATCTCTAACGGGCTCTTCTGACAGGAGCATCATCCTAGGGAATGTGCGAATGTGATGTCAACAAGAGACTTTTTGGCCCAGATGAACTTGGGCCCTAAACACAAGCCATGTAGTTCATCAGGTGTTCACTGAGGACAGAATAGATGGAGCCATGGATTAAAATGGCCCTGGGTTCTGTCTATTAGGTGGTGCTTGTTAGTCTACAGCATGAAAAGCTCTTAACGAGTTTCAGGAACTTTTTTCAGTTCTCGTATGTGTCCATGATTACCTGGCCCCACTGCTATTGGATGAGACAGGACATTAGGGCAGGAAGCAAGTGGCTCATGCCATAGGAGACAGGAGGAGAGAAAGATACAGGAAGAGACACCAGGCACAAGGTATACCCTTTAATGCACCACTTTTGGTAGCATTGCCCTCCAACCAGGTTCCACCTCCTAATAGCTTATTGAGCTCTGAGCTCATCTGTGGAATAGTCCACTGGTGAAGTTCACATCCTTGTGGTCCAGTCGTCTCTTAACAGCTCTACCCACCCTCTGGACTCCAGGAACTTTTTAATTTTCTATATGATAGACCCTCACTCTGCTTGTTTCTGCTTCTTTGTGTATATTTTTTATGTGTTTGATACACATCTGTGTGTCACTTAGTTGCAATGCCCACAGAAGCCAGAAGAGGGTGTCAGATCCCCAGAAACTGGAGTTACAGACAGTTGCAAGCTGCTGTGTAGCTGCTAGGAATTGAGGCCTGGGTCCTCTGGAAGAGCAGTCAGTGCCCTTAACCACTGAGTTATATCTCCACCTCCCGTTTTTGCTTTTATAAGATAGAGGTTTGCTGACAACAGGGTCTGCCTCTAGTTCTTTCTTGTAAAACCAACCCAAGAACTGTAGGAGACAGAGCATGCCTGAGTGGACAAAGAGAAGGGAGAGGATGGGACCCCAGATATATTTTACAAGATGCACACAAAATCCCCGTGTAAATATCCTTCACTCCTTTCTTTTATAACCAACCAATGAATGTTCGCTGGTTGCCTAATAATGTACAAGGCACTGTTTTGAAACAGCTGAAAGGGAAAGGTGGGGAAAGTTAGGCAATTAAAATTCCCTTAACCCTTTACTTCTATAGTACCCACTATTTGTAACATTTGGTCAGTGCTAACCAGCACTGGTATTAGCAACCCCAGAGTCTTCATTAAAAGGACTCTGGGCAGATTTCTTGGTAAAGTAAAACAAGAGCAAATAACCAAATAGTTCTTTTGTTTGTTTGTTTGTTTGTTTTGCAAGTAGAATCTAACCTAGACTAGCATTTTTTAAAAAGAAAAATAAAAAAAAAGGAGTTGGAGTTTAAATGATGCTAGCAGTAGTCTACTGTGAGTCTCAGACTTAAAGAGAAAAAAAGTCCACGGTGATAAAAAGCACTGTGGGGATGACATGGAGCAAATCAGACTAGCCACATCCAAACTGTCTGATGCAGCTCTCTCCTGTAAAATTTCCTGTGTTGAGGCCAGTAGTCAGCCGAGTTCAGACACACCACACCAGTGGACGCCAGCCAGCCGCTAAGTGCTCGCATCCCGGCGACCCTAATTAAATTATGGAGAATCCCATTTTTTTTTCCATAGAGCACTAAGTATATTTAATGCATGAGTATTGAAAGCATCTTTGGATTCCCGCCTTGCTCCCAAGTCTCATTGTGTATTGGGGGAGGGGTCTGCACATCATAGTTAAAAGATAATCAAATGAACGTCTTTTCTGGACTATAAATGGTTGATCAGCTATGACAGAGACACTAACCTAAGCAGCTGAAGAAAAAAAATATGTCTTTAACTGGCAGAATGTATTTTATCATCTGGGAGTAAATAAGAACATTTAAAGAGCAAGCAACCAGGCAGTTGTGCAGAAACTAACAGTGTGTCTGCTATGGTATGAGCTCTGTGGTGTGCATGTTGAGTAGATTATACTTAAAACTCTGGGTTTCCCACAGTCCTGTGCCGTTTCCCCTCAGATGATGTCATCTGCTTTGATTGACCAAAGAATTGGCCCTGGACATTTGCCCCCTAATTTCTAAGCTCTTTGAAAGCCATTGCTAGCTATGTCTTAATTTTCTTTTCTTTTCTTTTTTTTTTTTTTTTTTTTTTTGGTTTTTACGAGACAGGGTTTCTCTGTATTGTTTTGAAGGCTGTCGGTCCAGCCCAGCCTCAAACTCACAGAGATCCGCCTGTCTCTGCCTCCCGAGTGCTGGGATTAAAGGCGTGCGCCACCACTGCCCGGCTGTCTTAATTTTCTTGCATATTACTATGGTGTATGATATGAAATGTACTTAGTTGATAACTTATAATTCAGAAAGACAAATGCCCATTTTGGACATTTGTGGGGAGGGATGGTGCATCTGACATTTAACTCTCAAGTGTGTAAGATGAGTCAGGTTAAGAAAGCCAGGCACACACACACACACACACACACACACACACACACACACACACACACACACACACGGTGTTTGTAATACACTTAGGAGACTCCTTGGAGGAAGGAAGTTTATATGCTTAAAGAATATGGGATAATAGCCCTTTAGGGGGTAAAGAAATCCCTTCCAGGATTCAGTACTGGGCGTGGATGAACCAGGACTAGAGCAGAGGTGACAGGAAAAGCCAAGTTCAGAGGGTTAGAAAGAAACGCATTGTGTAGGAAGAGTGGGCAGGCTGTCTCCCTCTGCTGCACCCCCCCCCTGCCATCCAGGCAGAGTGGCAAATGACCTTAACACCCTCTTGCTGTTTAGAACTGGCAGAGTCTGAGTGTGGTTGAGGGCAGTGGAGTTAGGAGAGGTGTCCACACTCACACTGAAATCTATTGACTTTGAAATCTCCGCGAATACGGTAGCCTCCCCGGCACGTTTGTGGAGGTGTGGATGGCTTTGCCATCTTCTTCCAGTCTTCAGGCCCCCAGAGAAGAGGAAATGGTCTTGCCCTCCACACCCTTCCTTTTGCAACTTGGCTGCTGTGGGAATGGGGACTTTGAAGCAAGCTCACAGTTAGTTTCACAGTTGCTGTGGTGGACTAACAGCACTGTCTGTCCTCTGCTTGTCTTTGACTCTGGTGACAGAACCTACCATTTATCCCAAGTGCCTGAATAAAATTACAGCTTGACCTGGAAGTGCTAGAGAGGTCAGGGTGTGGCGGCACATTCCTATAATCCCAGAACTGGGGAGGCTTGGCCAGGGGAAAGCAAGTATGAGGCTAAGGATAACGGGAGACAGAGAAGACCATCATATTTGTGGGGGGTTCTGTTGTCCTCAAACTTTAATTTTTGCGTTAGAAAAGCAATTGTTTGTTATTTTTTGAAATTTGGAGTTCCTGTTTGGTGATTTCTGCATAACTTAAACCGTTAAAAAAAACCTTATGATTCCATCAAGCATTAATTTGTAAATGTGCTGATGGAAAAAAAAATGTACTTTAAAATCGTAGTCACTATTACCCATCCGTTTGTAAAGATTCTGAGGGACTAGTACAATAAAAATGATCAAATGTGGGTGATCTCCAACTCCCAGGCCAGCACTTCCGGTATCAATGAACTGCGCTCTGTTGTAATGACATCTAAAATTCTAAATCGCAACAGGGCCTTCTGATTGCCCTTAACCTACTTCATCATGCCTTTAGTATATGGGTTTTTGAAGAACAAGTTTCCCTTTTCTATTAGTAAGTGTGATAATCTAACGACCTCAATTAGGGAGGGGAGTAAAAAGGCTCACGCATCTAAAAATAACTCCATTATCCGCGCAGAGAGGGTCCCGATTCTGTTTCCTCCGCCCCTGCTGATATTAAGTAAGTGGCAATCGATCAGGATAATGTCTGGCTCTCATTTCTCATAAATGAAGGGCTGTGGCTTTAAGTAATCGCGGGCTGCCTGTGCCAGAGGCAGGAGCTGCAGTATCAGCCTCTGTGGAGAGAGGAGAGTCTGAGGCAGTAACCTGCGGGACGCCAGGGAAAGCCACCAGGGCCAATGGCCCTCCTCCGGGCTGAGCTTTAAATGTGGGCAGACCTGACGGGTGGGAGGCGGGGCCACCTGTGCGCTTCTCGGACAGTGCAGGGGGTGGGGGAGCTGGAGCTCGAAGCTGGAAAATGGGCTGCCCCAGCAGCAAAATGTGCCTCTCTCCTCCATGTGCAGCAACAAGGGTAATTAGTATTTGTTTACAGGGCTTTTCTGGAAGGGTGTCAGGGACTGATGCAGACCCTGTCTGGAACCAGCGGGAAGAGCTTTGCCTGAGAAGCAACTCTGGCCCGCAGAGGGCCGGTCTCATGATCTCTGCATTACTGTGACCCGATGCGGGAGCCCCACATCTGAGGTGATCCCAGGAAGGGCATTTTCAGAGAGAGAGCTCGGAAATCTGACTTTTTACTTCCACCCTGGCGCCAGGGAATCTATGTCTTGAGGAACTGTCTAACGATTGTGTTTGTATAAGTGTGTGTGGATGGGCGATTGCTACAGACCTGCAGGTAACTCAAAAATCATTCTTTATCGCAAGATTGATACTTGCCTTTTTTTTTTTTAACACTGAAACAGCTTCCTGCTTGCCTTTACTTCACTTCTGCCAAATCTGTTTAGAACTATAGTTGCTCCATGATGTAGTAATCCTTGGAAACTGGTGTGTAGCTGGGTAAAATCAATTTAATTTTATCTTTAAGAGAGTAAATTTGGTTTGTCCCAGAACGAACTTTTTTTTCTTGTTTAGAATGTAGGATTGCCCTTGTAACAAAACTTTATTTGCGGGTATGGGACAAAGTCCATATAAGTGCCTATGTTTAGAACATTAAATATTTATCTTAAACTGATTGGGCCCTTATTGCCCTTGAGGGGGAGAATGCATTACGTCTTAAGTACAGTATACATTAGCTGAAAGGGTCTGTGAATCTGCACTGAGCTCCAGGCACAAAGCACAAGATTTCTAAATCAGCCATTCATTCCCCAAAGGCAAATTTCCCCATGATCTGGGAAAATACAGGTTTTCAAAACACAAATTTCCTTCAGGGCAAAGGAACATCTGTATTTTGCTTTGTTTTTAAGGGACACAGGCTGTTAGCTTAAGTGATTTGTATCTTGGCTTCTGGCTTCTGGGTCTGGTTTTCCCAGCAATGACACGTGTGTGCCTTACTGAAAAGAGGGACCCTCTTCAAACCCCAAGTAACCTGATGTGTGTTTTCCGCAGCGGGAGGACGCGCTGAGGCAACACAAAACCCTCTCTCAAGAACTTGTCAACCTCCGGGGAGAGCTAGGTAAGAGCTTGTTTTCCTCCCTTGGTAAAGTTTACTGCACTTGACAAATATGCTCTTCTTCCTGCCCTGTAGCCGGAGCTACAGGCTGGCAGCTGTTATTTCTCCTTCTTGGATCTGTGCAAACACTTACTATCGACATTGCTTTTGACTCTTGGCAGAGTGACCCCAAGTTCACAGAATTCCTGGCACTGGTGTCTGAGTAAGCTAACCGAGCTTTCTGATGACCAAAGCGTGCTTCATACCGAGTAGACGGGCAGAATGATTTTCTGTGGCTGTGTGGATTCCTGTTGAATAATCGCACCATGCCATTTTTATTTTATTTTTTGAAACCACTTTTTATATTAAAGAGTGTTGAAAAAAAGGGTTATTTTCTCTGATAAGAGTGATTACCTTGCATGTCTGGGGGGATGGTGTGCGCGCTGTGGGTTTACAAATTAAAAGGATGCTGCCCGTTCTGTGCTACTCGGGTAGTCAGGACGAGCTAGGCAGGGATATTTACCAACTTACTGCCTGTAGCACTCAGTAGTAAGTCCTATTGCTTGCTGTTGGGGTTCTTGTCTCTTCTGGAGAGCCTAAGATCTGAAGGATAAAGATATTATTGCTACCCTTTCTACCTCAGCTTCAGTGCTCTGTGTGCACCCCCCACCCCACTCCTGATCTGTGGGGGACCCCTCAGCCTAGGAATTGGCTTCTCGATTTAGTTTCAACTAGATCTGGAGATGTTTCACTTGCCTTGTCCTCGGCTTAGCTTGCTGATGGGCTTTTGAGGAAAGTGTTTGTAGCATAAGTTCTTCAAAGGGAGCAGCTGGAGCTAGAGCAAATTTTGTTCATTTAATTCTCAAAGAATCCTGTTTTTCTCGGAGAACCAGATCATAGTTTAATCACTGCCGATCTGATTTGCTGGACTGGAATATCCGTCAACAGCTCCACTGGTCCAACCATGGTAAAGGTCAAGGGTCAGTGCATGCGGTAGGGGTCAAGAGTGTGCCCTCCCCTATTCCTTGTACCTCCCAGTGGGAGCTGAGACCAATTCCTAAGTAGCTTCCCTCGAGATTCACAACAGTAGGGAAGCCATCCGTGCTGGCATCAGGGTCTAGAAAGGAGGGACCGGTGTGGAAAAGCAATGTTAAGACAGATGAAAGTGCAGGAGCTGGGTGATGGGAAAGCTCTCGTGAACCAGGACAGAGGCCACAGACAGCATGGGCGGCCCTGATCTCAGACACTGCGAAGGCTTCCGCTGTCTAACTTGATCTGGCTGCCTCCCTTTTGGTTCCTTGGTGGCCAGCTCAGTTTGTTTGTCTTCGCCCTAAGTATTGTAATGGATATGGAGTTGGGAGGTGAGGAAAGGGGGCTTCTCTTGAGTTTTCAGAGTTCATCGGAACTCAGTGGAGGTGGAGATGAGCCCACCTCGTTCAGGTTGCTGTTCTCCAGGAGAGAGCAGTCAGGATAAGACAGAAGGGGACGCTGAGCTCCCGTTGCCTCTGCGTTGAATGGTGAGCTTCTTTCCACAGCCAAGCAGTGTACACTGGAGCCCGGGTCTGCAGCCCTTCCAGTTATCACGCAGCCTGTCAGGAAACAGCCATCCTTTGTACTCTCACCTCGCTGCCAGAGATAACGAGGAGAATGTGGCCTGTGTGTTTTCCCTGCCGCTGTCAAAGTGTCAAAGGACTTGGGAAATTGTCCTTCCTGCTAACTACTGAATCAGACAGGCTTGCTCAAGCCCCAGCGCTTGCTGAAGTACCAGCGGGAGGCGTTTGGGAAAGGTTTGCTTTGGCCAGCGACTGGAAGAGAATTCCTTAAACAAGTGTAATAAAACTGGCTAGAAAGAAAGTTCTTGAAGCTTTCAGCTGGATTTGTGGAGTGGACCAGAATGGAAAAAGATGAAGTTTTTATATATCAAAACTCAAACCTCAGTTTTCCAGTTTGAGGCAATAAAACACATAGGGTCACGGTGTCACAGTATCCGGGTTCGAATCCTTAAGTTGGGGACTGGGTGGGCCGGGGCCTGTCATCTCTCCTGCCCTGGTTTTATTCTCTTTAAAGTGACAGTATACACGTGTGTGCCCCATGGATGAAGAGGCTCACACGAGATAAAACACTGTAAAGCATCCGTGTGAGGTGTTACCTGCTGTTAACCATACCTCCTGGGATGTATGTCTGCAGCTTTCTGTTAATGCCATGACACATGCCGATAATCCCAGTACTAGGGAGGCCAAGCCAAGAGGATCACTTCAAGTCCTAGGCCAGCATAGTGAGTGACAGCCAGCCTGAGCTACTTTGATGAGACCCTGTCTCTGTCTCTCTCTCTCTCTCTCTCTCTCTCTCTCTCTCTCTCTCTCTCTCTCTCTCTCTCTCTCACACACACACACACACACAACACACACACACACACACACACACACAGCTGTGCAGTGGAGATACTATTAGAAATCCCCCAGGACAGGTCTATCACACTCAAATGCATGTGAGACCTGACCATTCAGTTCCTGCTATACTGGCGTTGAATGTTGGGTTAGTGGTGTAGGGGTGACTGAACATTTTTGAGTACATGGGGTTTTCACTTTAGTGACTTGAAGTCTTTATTTTGCTGGATTTGTGTGAATGAAGAGAGTTGTAAAATACATGAAGTGGTGGCCTGGTACCTGACACTTTATAGGCAGCTTAAGCAAGAGTTGCTGTCTTCCAACTTTACCTCCACCATGGAATTAGCCACCTCTTCCCTCAGAATAACCTGGCGCTGTCAATGGTCAACTGGGTAACCTTCCCTTCCCTTCTCCTGGAAAACTGGGACAAGTCTATTTGCTTGAGCAAACTTCAAGAAATCCCTCCGTCTACCCAGAACAGAACCATGAGGCTCACCCTACGCTCATGACCCTCATATACCTTGCACAGATGTATTTACTGTATCTTGTGTTCTTCTGTTATCTTCTGACACTAAGGTCCTTAATGGAGGAGTCTTTCCCGATTTCTCCAAAATAAAAAAAAAATCCTTATGAACTCTCCATTTGCAAAGCTTACTGATATTTATTGGCATCTGAGAGTTTATAATTTAAATACCAGTGTATAAACAATTACCTTATATTCCTACTATCCTGGCATAATTTTTGTGTAGCCCCTTGCCTTTGTTTATAGAACATATATACAACTTTGTACCACGATTATTTCAGTGATTTGTTTTTTGGGTTTTTTGTTTGTTTGTTTTCAAGACAGGGTTTCTCTGTGTAGCTTTGGAGCCTATCCTGGCACTTGCTCTGTAGATCAGGCTAGCCTCTGAACTCAGAGATTCACCTGCCTCTGCCTCCCGAGTGCTGGGATTAAAAGTGTGCACCACCAACACCCAGCGGTAAAGTGCATTTTATACACAATAAAGTTCCATTGTTCCATCACACTTTTGTTTGAGACAGGGCAGCACTATGTAGACTAGGCTGGCTTTGAACTTGTGTCTCTGTCTGTTCTATTTTTCCCCCCTTTCAGTACATTTATTTGTGTGTATTCACATGTGTGTGCACATGTTGAGGTCAGAGGACAGCTTTCGGGATTGCAGGATTGGGTTCTCCCCTTCCATACTGTGAGTTCGGGCAATGAAACTCTGGTTCTTAGGTTTGGTGGCAAGCCTGATCCCCTGAGCTATCTAGCCAGTCCATCAGTTTTAACAGACACTCATGTAAGCTAAACTTGCATCGAAAATTTCTGTAACCCCAGAAGACTCCCTTACGCCTCGCCTCCCTTAGAAGTAAATACTTGTCTCTCCTAGAATTTCATGGAAATGAAAGTGTAGTGCCCTCATTCAAGTCTGGCTTCTTTCACAGAGGACCAGGCTTCTGAGGTGTTTGCCCTTGTCTTTGGATTCTTTTAACAAACCTGGAACTTTCTCAACATCACACCCTGTAGCCTCTACTGAAGAAGTTATTAATGACTGTGGACCATCTATGGCAGTGGTTCTCAACCTGTGGGTCACAACCCCTTTTGGGGGGGTGTCGAACAACCCTTTCTCGGAGTCACATAAAGAGTCTCAGCATTAGGAAGGTTGAGAACCACTGATCCTATAGAGTGGTATAGCACTGAGGCCATATATGGTCATGACTCATGGGTGTGTTTTTATGCCCGTCCTTCCCGAGCTGCAGGTGAACCAGCCCAGTGAGGTGACACTTTCCCCTGGATGGCTCCTTGTTTCCTGAGCCCTCTGCATGTCGTGTTACTCAAGCCCATATGTCTTCATTGTCCCAGGAGGCATCAGTTGAGTAACTCGGCACCCAGGACAGCCACTGACTCACACTCCTTACGTTATAACACCCTCTATTATCTACATGCATATCAGTCTGTGTCCTAAATCTCTCTCAGACCTGTCCTTCCTCAGCATTCCTGAAGCCTGAGTTTCTTCCAGGGAGATACTGCCATAGCTGCCCCACAGGTGGCCTACCTTACTATCCGGTCACATGCCCCTTTTCCATGGGCTCCAAAGATTGCGCTGGCAAACCTGGCATTTTTGCACCCACCGCCTTTTCTGCTTTGCCTTTGATTTGTTTAAAGCCTGGCTTTGTGTCTGGGTGCCCATTCCCCTTGTTGACACCTGCTTTCCTGCAGGTCTCGGGTGGAATCTAAGTCCTGTGTCTATACCTCTTCTGCATACTGTGCACCTTTCTGCTGAAGTGCTTTCTCCCCTCTGTGCTGCCCTTCTCTCCTTGCCTCCCAGGCTCTTCATTTACTCCTATTTTAAAGACCTGTTGAAGGTATCCTGTCTTTAGCTGAGTTTCTCCCAGATCTTTCAAGCAAGTAAATTTTCCTTTTTCTACCCTTCTGGCTATTTGATATGCATTGAGACTTTGTCCCTAGCTATTTGTTTCTGTGCCCCTTCCCTCCACCTAAAACTAAGAGGTCTTCAAAGGCAAAGTCACTGTCTCCTTATTTACGTAGACCTGGGGTACACTGACGCACAGACTGCAGATAAAGAATGGATCCTGCAACCTAAGACGGTAACGGGGAAAGTGGTTTTCTCCTTG